CAACTTTACAGCAGAAAAAAACATGTTTACAGCCTGGTTCAAAAAATGATTTTGGTCTATATAGCTAATTTTGCCCTTCATGACAACTGTGAGGGGGGGGTGTGAATTTTGTTATAACTCATCCGTTTAAATTATATTAAGCCTTAAAGTTCTGCATAATTAAGGGGGCGTGGCCACTTGAGTGACAGGTGGATTGCCGCTGCTGTCACCACCGTCGAGCTAGGTGGGCGTGGTTTCAGCAGCCAGCTCCCGCCTTTTTGCCCATTTTTGATTACCCGGGAGTGATGCGCGGTGACGCGCTGCCAAGATGGCGACGACCGGCTCCGCCTACTTTGAGCTTCAGAAACGCTCTTCAGGAACCTATGGGTGACGTCACGGACACTACGTCCATGTTTTTATACAGTCTATGGTCACAACACATTAAAGAGCCACAGAATGGTAGGCTATTATTTGAATTTCTTAAAAATGATCATATTTTAAAGATGAGATTGCTTCACACCAAAAGTAACCTGCTCTTGTTGTCAGTTTCCTCTTTGCAATGTATTTTTCACTGCGTTTGAACATGATGTGTGTGTGGCATAAGTGGCTTGTCGGATGTAGCAACAGTAACTAAGGGGGGCGGGTCTTTGCAGGCCTTATAAACATTCAAACGTCCTTTTAAAAGGCTTTTTGAACATTTTAAAAACTTTCAAAGAACATTTACAGTTTACCTTGTAGTTAAAAGTTACAGAATATGAATTTCTTTGAATTTTAGCTCCCTTTAAAGGATAGTTATCTCCCAAAAATGAAGATTTTCATTTTCAATTGAATGGTGAGTCATTATTCACTCACCCTCAAGTGGTTCCAAACTTGTAGGAGTTTTTTCTTCTGCTGAAAATAATAATAAAAGAAAAGATATTTTGAATTTAGGTAACCAAATTGATGGTAGCCATTGACTTCCATAGTATGGAATAAAAATACTATGGAAGTCAACTGTCTGGTAACCCATATTTTTCAAAATATCTTTTTATGTTCAACAGAAGAAAGAAACGCATTCAGGTTTGGAACAATGTGTGGGTGAGACAGAAATGCAGAAATGATGACAATTTTCATTTTTGGGTGAACTAGCCCTTTAATTCTACTTCCATTCAAAGTTTGAATTCAAACTGCAGTTCTTCATCATGTTTGCTCTCTCAGAGTCAGTAACAGAATGAATTCAAAAGGCATGAATAGTACACAACCCTGATGACGTTGATGTGAAAAAGTAAGTACACCCCATGAACATTTACATTGATCTTCATGTCAGCAATACTGTATGTGATCTAATTTGTAATAACCAGGCATGTGAACACAAATTAAGATGCAGTTTTCTGCTATGGAACATAAAAACACAGTGGCAGGTGTCGTTCTCTTTGGCAGAAATCACGTCTCGTAGGCGTTTCTTGTCATTGTCTTTCAGTCTCCTAAATTGGCTGTTTTCAACAGTTTTGCCCATTTCTACCTACAGTAATTCAACTCCCCACAACATTTCTATATCATTCAGATGTGTGGCTGTTCCATAACCAATCATTCTTTATGTTAATTTTGTGTTGTGAGACCCACATATATTCAGTTTCAGGTTTTACGTGTCCTGTATAATTCCCTTGTATAATGCAGTATTTTATATTGACTACATGATGTTAGATGGACTAGACTAGTTAGTAAGTTAGGAAAGTTAGAAAAGCAGCCTCAGTTTAAAATGTTTCCACCATCATTATTTGCAATTCATAAGACGTCCAACTCTTTTACACAGTTTATGATAAACATTCACTTTCAAGCCAATAAAATGCATCATAGAGTCAAAGCTCTGACATTAAATGATAACATCTGCAGAGACTGAAGTATAAAAAGTGTATTACAGTGTTCATCCATTATACAGTTTGGTTGCTTGGAGGCATTTTTGTTGACAATCACGTGCAAAGCTTACAGTAGCATTACCATTTTGCTTCTTTATACGTCATCTTCCATGCATCAGGCAAAGCGATAAGCATAAGAACAAACCTGACCAGTAGGTTTCTGTTTTTGTGGCTCACAGTTACTATCCAAGATCATTTGCATTGCAGTTCCGCTTAATTGTAAATTTTGAATGATTTTGAATGAATCAAATTTTGATATTTAAATAGAATATTAAACAATCTTTTCAACCACTAATTCCGATCAACCATCCATATAAGAAGTGAATGTGTATCATTTCATATAAAAGGCTTGGGAATAATAGTGAAACAGCAGAAGCAGAGACTGACCTAGTCTTCATTTCTTTTTCTTTTTTTTTAATACAAAAAAAAAGTTGTACCGTACAGCTCACAAAAGTTATAATTCTCTGTGTTTTCTTAAGGAATACATTGCTTCACTTCAAACTGGTAAAATCGAAATGTTTTTGTCCTGATAAATTGTGGTTGATACATCACGTATTGCTTTGATCTTTTCATTATTGCTTCATGAATGTGCCCTTCATGCTATCATACAGTCATAGACAGATGGCGTAAAACATACACACACACACACACACAGTCTCTCGTGAAATGCAGCAGCATTCAATCTGAGCCACATTGTTTAATGAGTGATTATTTCTATCTGTGAACTATCTTCTTAATAGAATATTCCGGCATAAATACAGCTAAAGCTCATTTCAAACATCCGTGGCATGTTGTCAGACACACCAAATGATAAATTTGTCCCTCTGTTAATGCTTGTGCGCTACCGCTCTGACACCTGTAGGTGGCGTTTTCTCTAGGTAAAAGTCTCTTTCTGGACTCCTTGCAGAGACTGTGGATAAGTTCATGTTTACTGGCTTCACATGGTCATGACAGGATCTAAGAAATTGGATTTAACTGTACACATCAACGTAACAGTAATTTTATCACACTATAGTTTCATGTCAGCACATATAATGTTTTGCTTCACACCAAAAGTAACCTTTCAAGTTACTTTCATAAGCAATGCCTCTGCCCCAAAACCTAGTAAGCAGCCCTGATGTCTGTTTTCTTAGCATTTTAAATCAAATTGTACCTCATAAGTGATCAGTTTGGCTCTACATAGAGGTCATGTCAAACAAGACCCACAGTGAATTTACGTGATACCAACAACGTGATAAACATAAAATATAATACATATATTGGATAATGTAGTCTTTTTAATCAGACTGAATGATATTATGGTTTTTGTTATTGACTCAAATGTCAGTAGTTTTTTCCCCACAGAACTTGGAGCTTTCCAAAACCCTAAATCGAATCAATTGAACAAATTTGCAAAATGATTCACTGTTTCGAACATTTCGAAACAGTTATAATGTGACAAAGCCCAGTTTATCGCAATTTATATGCGATGCGAATCACTGATTCAAAACAAACGATTCTCAGAAGTTTCGAAGCTCCACAAAGATGGTGCATAAGAATTTGGCCGAAATAAATTTTCTTTGAATTTTTACATGGAGAGCACCTCAAAGTCTCCCTATGTAGACAGCTCATTAGGTTTTGAAACAAAGACACTGTATTTTAATGCCTTGCCCCATATAGCCTACTTTTTTTAGTACATTACTGTAAACATGATTTTTGTTTGTTTTTACATGAAATGCTGATTAAATCATTTTCTGTAATCATTGACAGCTTCATTTAACCTGAAGCATTCCTTATATGAATTGCTAAAATGCTTCAAGTGAGGTTTTTGTCGCAATAAAAAGAGAGAATGAAATGCAGATTGAACTAAACACTCAGGCAGACAGTGTGCATAGATCAGTGAATATTTTACACTATCATTCTCATTCTTCACATTTCAAGTTAGTTAGGCGTGTAATTTTCTTGTTGTATGTATATAGAAATGCAAAAATGTTGGCATTCTTGAATCCCATTCTGTTTAGGAAAAGTTCAGCAGAAATTTGAAATACATTAAGACAGAGGTAAATGTTTTAAAATATGACATTTGAAGGGAAGTTTCTGGATTCACACAGAGTTTTCTATCAGGCATTTCTGTCAGAGCCTCAGGGAAAATAGATGAAGTATCTAAATAACATGATTTTCCCCATTGAGTTCTCTGAAGATCTGCTGCTATTTTAGGTTACGTGGTGCAAACTGATAATGTCTACATTATATATCTATCTACCTAAATATATATATATATATATATCTATTTTGCTATAAATATATCTATATAACATATATGCAAGAGCATGTTGTCATCATTTTAGGAGCATTTGCCATTTAACCATCTCCTTGTGCTGTACAAACACACACACACACACACACACACATTCACACTCAGGTGCTCACATTGTTCACTTGGTCTGTCTAGGTAGTGCAGTTGTAAAGGGGAATTTATCATGTCTCACTGATCAATGTGTGTGTAGATCTCCAGGGATAGTGTGACATTGCTTGTCATTTGTGCTCGGATTGAATGCAAAAATAAAAATATTGATTTCGTTCTTTGTATAGGTAACATTGTCTTTGCTTTTCTCTCACTAGAAATTAATACCGCACACAAAGCCATGTATCTATGCATAAATATTTACACATTAAAGGAATAGTGCACCAAAAAAATTGTTTTCATTGTTTTGTCATTGTTTTCATGCCCTCATGTTGTTTCAAATGTGTGTGCTTTTATTTATTTATGTGGAATGCAAATTTTTAATATATGTAAAATAAGAATTGTTTTACATTTATAAACAAAATATAATAAAATAGTTCTATATTATATATATTATGTAAGTTTATTATTTTTTTATAAATTGATAATTGATTCTTTACTATTACAATACGTACTTTTACAAATATATTATTTTTTGAAATCTTTCCTTTTTGTTCCACAGAAGAAAGAAAGTCATACCGTTTCGGAATGACACGAGGGCGAGTAAGTGATGACAGAATGCTCAATTTTGGGTGAACTATCCCTTTAAGAATGAAGAGTTTAACAGCTAAACTATTTTCATGAAACAAAATGAGGAAAAGATTCAAGTTTTCCATGCAGGATAAAAAGATTCCTACTGCCCTTCTCTTTTTTCGAATCTTCCGCTAAGCGTCTTTCCAGCTTTCACACATTCACCCGTTTGTTTTTTTTCGCTGATTCACGCGCTCACTCTCTCTGTATGGCACTTTGCATTGTTCTGCATTGTAGAAGCTCCAGTATCTCCAGGAACGCGTCACAAAATTTGAGTATCAAAAAGGTCGTAGTAAAGGTTCATATCTCCGACTCCCTGCGGTATGACCTTTGCTCTGTGCAGTGAGGGTTCTGCAGTCGTTCGAAATCATGTCGAGGGGTTCTCTCTGGGCTGAGGCTCATTGCTCGTTCTGGCTTTATCCTTTCCGGACTGTTGTCCTCCTCCTCTTCGTGGCTCAGGATCGCCAGCTCGTTCTCGTAGCAGAAGGAGTTGGCGCTGGGCACCACCAGGTACTTGTTTTCCATCATGTCCTTGGCACTGCAGCGTGGTGTGGACGGCACCTCGTACGTCTTGTGGAAGTGTGAGTAGTCAACCTTGTATTGGTTCTTTTCCTCGAACAGCACCGGCTCAAATCGATGCCCCCAGAGGATCTCGCTAGCCAAGTAGGAGCTTCGCGCCTGTGCCGTCATGGCCGTGGCCTCCACCATTCCCTCCAAGATGACCACGATCTCAAAATCCGCCGTTTCTAGGTCCTGCTTGCTGATGCCGAACAAAGGGCTCTCTTGGTCAATTTGATGCAGGATGGTGATTGGCGAGACGAGGAAGATGCGGTCAAGTCCTTTGTCGAAACCAACGTTAATGTCCAACTGGTCAAGGGGGATGTACTCGCCTTCGGTCGTAACCCGCGGCTTGATGAGCTGCGCTCGGACATGTGCCTCAACGATGTGGCTCTTTCGCAAGTTCCCCACCCGCCACATCAAGCATAGTTTCCCGTCTCGCATGGCTATGATGGCGTTATGCGAGAACAGTAGAGTCTGCGCTCGCTTCTTGGGGCGTGCCATTTTGGCCATGATTGCCCCAATCATGAAGCAGTCGATGATGCTGCCCACGATGGACTGGAAGACCACGAGAAAAACCGCGAGAGGACACTCTTCCGTCACGCAGCGGAAACCGTAACCGATGGTCGTTTGTGTCTCGATGGAGAACAGGAACGCTGCAATGAAGCCGTTCACTTGTAGCACGCAGGGTGTGAAGTTGTCGTCCCCCGCCGGGTTGTCCAAGTCACCGTGAAGAAGCGCGATGACCCAAAACGCCAAGCCGAAAGCTAACCAAGAAATCACAAAGACTAGTGTGAAAACGATCAGCATGTAGCGCCAGCGGATGTCCACACAAGTGGTGAAAATGTCCGCCAGGTAGCGCTGGGATTTCTCGTCCATGTTGGTGAACTGCACATTGCACTGTCCGTTTTTCTTCACGAAACGGTTGCGACATTTCCGCCGAGTATGGATCTTGCCGTTGCCGTATCCATTCATCCCTCCACCGTGCATGGTTGTCAAGCGCAGACCATCCTCCTCCGTCGACACGATGCTGTAGCGACCGATCCGACCCACGCTCATTCTCTTTAGCTCTCCTTGGCCTTCCTATCTTTGCGATCTGGTGTTCCCTCTCTTTTGGAGCGGTTTAGTAGTAGTACGAGTCCAGGGTGGTGGGTGGTTCAGTTGGTCACCGTGAAGAAGCGCGATGACCCAAAACGCCAAGCCGAACGCTAACCAAGAAATCACGAAGACTAGTGTGAAAACGATCAGCATGTAGCGCCAGCGGATGTCCACGCAAGTGGTGAAAATGTCCGCCAGGTAGCGCTGGGATTTCTCGTCCATGTTGGTGAACTGCACATTGCACTGTCCGTTTTTCTTCACGAAACGGTTGCGACATTTCCGCCGAGTATGGATCTTGCCGTTGCCGTATCCATTCATCCCTCCACCGTGCATGGTTGTCAAGCGCAGACCATCCTCCTCCGTCGACACGATGCTGTAGCGACCGATCCGACCCACGCTCATTCTCTTTAGCTCTCCTTGGCCTTCCTATCTTTGCGATCTGGTGTTCCCTCTCTTTTGGAGCGGTTTAGTAGTAGTACGAGTCCAGGGTGGTGGGTGGTTCAGTTGTAGTGTTGTTGGGACAAGTCCAATCCAAAGTAGAAGCCCTTCGGTTTCCTCAGACCCTTGAAAAAAAGAAACAGATCATTAGTGCTGCATGTTTGTATCAGTTCATAAAGCTAAAAATAAGAATGGTGCCGTTTGAGAGAGATGCTGCATATATAAACATTCTTTGATCAAAGTAATAGTTTCAGCAGATATTCTTTCAAGCAATTTGCTGCATTTATTATTATAAAAAAGGTGTTAAAAGTATTTGTAAGAGCATTGATAGGTGGTTTCTAGGGAATTGCCGGGTGGTTGCTAGGGTGTCCTAAATCTTTGGTAGGGCATTACTAGGGCATTCTGAGTTTTTACTAGGGCGTTGCTAGGTGTTTGCTAAGGGGTTTCTGAGTGTTTGCTAGGGCATTACTAGGTGTTTGCTAGAGTGTTCTGAATGTTTGTTAGGGTGTTGCTAGGTGGTTGCTAGGCATTCTGGGTGTTTCCTAGGATGTTGCCAGGTGGTTGCTACCATGTTCTAAACGTTTTCTAGGGCATTGGTGGTTGCTAGGGTGTCTTGAATCTTTGGTAGAGTGTTGCCTGGGTGTTTAGAGTTTTTACTAGGGTGCTGCCAGGTGTTGATAAGGGCATTTTATGTGTTTGCTAGTGTGTTGTCAATGTTTACTAGAGCGTCGCTAGGGGGTTCTGAGTGTTTGTTGGGACATTGCTAGGCTTTCTGGGTGTTTTCCAAGGTGTTGCTATGTGGCTGCTAGGCTTTCTGGGTGTTTTCTAGGATGTTGCCAGGGAGTTGCTACAGTGTTCTGAATGTTTGTTAGGGTGTCGCTAGGTGGTTGCTAGTGTTTTCTAGGATGTTGTTACAGTGTTCTGAATGTTTGTTAGGGTGTTGCTAGGTGGTTGCTGTAATGTTCTGAATGTTTGTTAGGGTTTTGCTACTGTAGGTGGTTGCTAGGCTTACTGGGTGTTTTCTAGGATGTTGCTGCAGTGTTCTGAATGTTTGTTAGTGTGTTGCCTAGGTGGTTGCTAGATATTAGGGTGTTTCTATGTGGTTTCTAGGCTTTGTGGGTGTTTTCTAGGATGTTTCTAGGATGTTGTTACAGTGTTCTGAATGTTTGTTAGAGTGTTGCTAAGTGGTTGCTAGGCTTTCTGGTAGACCTGTCGCAATAATCAATATATCGACTTATCGCGCAATATATGTACATGATCTCAATAACCTATATATTGCACAACAAAAAGTTGTTATCGTGACAGGCCTACTTTCTGGGTGTTTTCTAGGATGTTGCTGCAGTGTTCTGAATGTTTGTTAGTGTGTTGCCTAGGTGGTTGCTAAATGTTACGGTGTTTCTAGGTGGTTTCTAGGCTTTGTGGGTGTTTTCTAGGATGTTGTTACAGTGTCCTGAATGTTTGTTAGAGTGTTACTAAGTGGTTGATAGGCTTTCTGGTTGTTTTCTAGGATGTTGCTGCAGTGTTCAGAATGTTTGTTGGGGTGTTGCTAGGTGGTTGCTAGGGTGCTCTGTATGTTTGCAAGTGCACTACTAGGTTGTTTGGGTATTTTCTAGGATGTTGCTAGGGGTTGATAGGCTATTCTGGATGTTCTGAAAGTTTTTTTTTTCTGCATTGTATAATATATAAGTATTTATAACCATAACTTCTCTTACATTCGCTGCCATATTGATTTTATCTGTGTAGTGCTTTCTGAAAAATGCTTTCTGTGTAGGCAGCTCACTAGGGTTTAGAGCTAAAATGTGCCATATGGAGTTCATTCATTTACTTACTTTAGTTTCACCTGGTTTCAGATGGTGCGTGTTTTACCTTCAGACAAAAGCTGATCATGAAGAGTAAAAGAGGCTGTTTTGTTTTTGGCTCATTTTAAGGAAACAGTCAGATTCTCTGTCTGACATTAGCTTGGCGTTGCACAAGACTTTGTATGATATTAGCGTGTACAGGTCAAGGCAGGACACAGGTTTCATTTCAGGTTTCTCATGTATGTGTTTTTGTTCTCGGCTTGTACATTATTTATCAGAGCTCTGTTTTAAAGCTGCTTAACACAACAGAGATGTTCTGGCTATCAAATCACACACACACAACCGCAGATGTCCCTCAGGAGACCCAACTCCTACCCTCCGAAACATTTGCACCAAAGTAAAAATGACGTAAAAGGGGTGTTAACGTTTTGGGAGTTTGTGCATGTGCCCCGTGTGTGTTTGAGAGTGTTTGCGCACACACGCTTGAGTTTTAAACACATCATTCAGACACTCAGGAGACCTGTGTCTGCATGAGGCATTGGCCATGGGTGCCATCCCACAATCCTCTAGAGATGCTAAGTGGGTTGAAGAGGGGGAGGGCCATGAGTTGGCTGGGGATAGACAGAAAATTAACATAAGACGTGGAATAAATGAAGGTTATGAAGCAAAAATAGGGAAGAGAGACAGAACTGATGTATGACAAAGACCAAGAAGGGAGGAAACCCTGTGGCCTGAAATCTAAATATATGCAGTCCGCGCTCAGAGAGGTTTCGTGCTTTATTTGTCTGGCCTGCTTCTGCGTACCATACAGCGACGTCATTACTGTCACACTTACACTACCGCTGGCTTTTCTTCACTTATTCTTCAGATTAATACCTGTTCTTCTGGAGAACACCGGATTTATTTTAGTATATTATTATATTATTTATAACATTTTAAATTTGCATAACAGATTACTGAAAGATCTTGATAGATCTCTTTCTCAAAAAGTCCTGCAACCTAAAGTCTAAATTTTACTTGAAGTTATAGTAACTTTATTTACCTTTGTCATTTTCATTATTTGTTTTCTTAGATAAACTTATTTCATTTAATTTAGTTGCGGATGCAATATTTCTATCTAATCTAAGTTTTATCTAATATTTGTATTTCAGTTTATTTCAGCTTCATGTCAATAAAAAAAGGATTTTTCATGTTTAATTAACAATATCACAACTAATTAAAACTCAAGAACACAATACATATGCCAATTTAATATTCAGCATTACATTTCGCTCATCAGGTTTGCCTGTGTGTTGTTTTAAAATGTCACAAGACTGAATATATATTTTTAATATATTTTCTTTGCATTTTCTTTATCTTTTCTTAATAAACTGTTAGTGTTGTTTTCTTCAGTGTTATTTTGGTATTATTTATAGTATTTCATATTTTTTGTTTTTATATTTTCAGTTTTCAGTTGTTTAGTAATTATTTTGTGTGCTTGTCATTTTATTATTATATTATATTATATTATTTATTTATTTAGTCAATTTTTTTATATTTAAAATTTTCATTTCCGTTTTAGTAATTTTATTATTTTAGCATACACTTTTTTTAAATTTCAGTTAGTTGCAAGGCATGATTTTCAGACTTCCAGTTTTTAAGTAAAATGTTTCATCTAATATTTATATTTTATTTTATGTCAGCTTTATTTCAATTACTGAAAACAATTTTTAATAGGTTAAGTTAGGTGTGCAGTTTTAAAATCACATAAGAGTCGATATAATTTCCTATTATATAATATATGGTTAAATATTCTGAACAAACTGTCAGTGATGTTTACTTGTGCAAAAGTTTCCCTGGGTGTTGCTATTCTGTTTTCTAGATAAAAGATTAAAGAGCTTACATTTATTGGATCTAGTACTATGGTTAACTCGGAAGAGAATGCAATTTTTGTGATTTTTCTGTTTATTCCCTCCCTTTTCACAATTTTCACGACAGGGTCTGTTTGTTTGATTTGATACTTGATAACATCATTACATAATTACAGCGGCTGAAGCGTCTCTAGGCTGTCTGCAGGAAGAAGGCAGAAGGGTTACAATGACAACATGATACCTGATCTGTACACACACTCACTCACTCATGCATTCATACACACACAGAAACACTGCAGTATTGCCTGTATCTGAGCTCTCGGTGTCTCGCATCATTTCAGCGCCATCATCGTCAGGCCTTTTACCACAGTTGTCTCAGATAACAGAGATAGAAAGAGAAAGCCTGTGAACGCCTTAGAACAAAATCCTGCAATAAACAAAGCTAAAATGCAAATAAATAAATTACACAGAATAAAAGCACACTTTCAATGCAATATAATGCAAAAAAAAAAAAAATTAGGAAGCTTGTAATGTTTTGCATGTGATATCTAATGTAACTGTAAAATGTAATGTAAGTTAAAAATGCATAAAATTACACCAAAGTGATTTAAAGGTCAACTCGGGTAGAAATAGCTCTATGCATGAACAAGAGGCGTTCTTTTAGCAGAAAGTTCAAATTTGGATGTAAGTTGTGCCGTATGGTGGTGTGTTGCTGATTTTTGGGCTACGGTGCACCCTCAGGAGGTAGTTGACTTGTAAGGGAACGGTGAGTTCTAGGTTGTAGCAGCAGATTTGACCGGAGAATGTCATGATGTCTGTCCGTGAACCCAAGCGGAACAGAATGTGGGTCATGGGAATGACAGAGGCGGTGTTTTATGGGAAAGTTATAAATTTGAACTCAAACTCAAATGAACTGTTGCTGCATGACCGGAAGCAGAAAGTTAAGTTTGCTATTAGCATTTTAT